GTGAAGCAGGCTCTTGCTGTAGCAGATAAAGCCTGAATTCCTCAGGGCAACCTACAGCCATTGTTAAAGCATCTTTCTGAGAACCCCAACCTTTGCTTTGTTCATTCATCTTCCTCCACGCAAACCTTTGCTTTTGCCCATAGAAATGTTGGTAAGGTTGCACTGTAAAGTAGGTGACAGAACTGATGCAGGCTTTCAAAGACAAAATCTCCCTGCCACCCCAAGCCCAAGAGCTGTGTGGAAAGCTGCCTGCACAGCTATGGGCTTTGAGAGGCTGTGTTGCCACAGAGCATCGTTCAAAAGATGCAGCGAGGCCAACTTCAGCCATCATCCCCACCAGGCACAATTGCTCCTCACTGCTCACAGGCTTCATGCTGCCCTGAGGTGGGCCAGCACCGCTGCTTCTGGGCACCCAAGCAGTGTCAGGAAACTGGTCAGAGCCCAAGAAGTAGGGCATTTAGCCCAGAAGAGCCAAGTTATTAATGAGCAAGGCCTTGGCATGGTCCCTGTGCCTGAACAGCCCTCAAACAGATGTTCCATCAGGCTCATGAAGTGCATGGTGAGGAGCAGCTGCCCACAGACACAATCCAACCTGGCAAGGCAGCAGAACCACTCCCCTGTGCCCACTGGGAAGAGACGTCGCTGAGCTGCTGTTCAAACTCGGGCACGGCGATAGGATTGTCCTATTAAAAACACTTCTGGAAAATGCTTAAAAGCATTTGAAAAGCAGGTGAGGCTACAAAGGGTGGGCCAAGGCAGGAATGGACTGGGGCAGGAGGAGGACAGTGAGGCTGATGGGCAGGTGGATCTTCTCCCAGCCCTTCTTATTCTCCGGTGGCTTCTGGTTGGGACAGCTCTGCCGCCTCGCTCCAACCATCATCCACAGTAGCTCAGCCTACGCTCATTTTAATTGCCTCCAGCAGATTAGTGGGGGCAAGTGGAGCTTAGTAAACCCTGGCTGTGGAAGGCTAGATGACTCTGAGAGAGGAGGCCCTGCTTAGGCTGTCAAGCAGTAACTGTAGCCTTGAGAACCTGGGGCCATGTCATTGTACCGTTTATTACATTTTATAAAGACGATATATTGCAGAAGTAACGTTGTAGAGCTCAACAGTGACAGGCCAAGCAGCTTTTGCCATACTGCAGCAAGGAAAAATGTTCATCACTTTGGCCTTTATTGGATAACACAACTGTCTTTAAAACAGTCAATCAACGTATTATGCAGGAAGAAAAATTTAAAAGTGTGATAGACTGACTAACAAAATAAAAATCCAGATTAAAAAGACATAAACACAAACGACCTTTTAACTCACTATAGTTCTGCCTTCTTGAGTTGTCAGTCTTTTAATATTTCTTTGGAGACATATATATATCTATATATAAAACATTGCTGTGAGATACACTTCCAAGCACAGAATTCTTTGAATAATACTCAGCTAATAGTTATACATAAAACCACCTGATTATTTTATAAATAATTCAAACATTTAGAGTCATAATAGCATTCCTACCTAAAGCATGCTGAAGGCCCCCTGCACAAGGCAGAGCTTTATAATGCAAATGAGGTTTTTGGTCCTTCAGCATGAAGACCCAGCTTGGACATCATTTATATATTTAAGCAGTTTACACAGGTGAATAGCACAGCTGCTTTTTCAGAGAGCTACCTATGTGTAAAGCTAACTCTTTTACAATGCGGTCAGCAGAAATACTCACAGTATACAAGGTGGTGTGTTAGCATTTTCAGGGTTGGGCCAGAAAAAGAAGGCTTAGAACAGACCAGAATGGGAAAAAAAGGTTTACATATTTTCATGATTCAAATAAATGGGATGTAGGACAGGAGTAGGGGTTATTTCCTTATGTCTACACAGAAGAAACATATCCCTTCAAATTTCAAAATATGTCTACAAAACCACACATTTTGTTCATAGGTGAGCCTTCCCCTCCTGATCACTGGAAGAGAAGATTGCCAAGCCAATAGGAAGTAACATTTTACAATACACTTACAGGAAAAAGATTGTTGTGCTGACATAATTACTGGCAATTAAAAAAAGTACCAGTTTAAAAGCTCTGGGAGAAGACTATATATGATGAAGGATGTGTTTGCATAGATGTAATACGTGAGCCTGAGAGCAACACAGGAAGGCAGTGCTAGCATAGACCCAGGAGGCACAATATGAAGGCAAAGCAGGGCCAGGGAGTCTGATAAAACAGAGGCCATGGGAAGAGCCCTCACAAACCATCGCTATGCTTTAGCTACCTTTGGTGATTAAGTTTTAAGAATGTGTTTAATTACCTTCTGCTTTGCTTTCCAATGGATACCTAAATAGCTGATTCCAAAGTGAACTGTAAATTGCATCATCAACTGTTTGGTTTGAGGTAAAAAGCATGCAGGTGAGCCAGGCTGGGATCCTCACGTGGGCATATGCAAGACCTAAGCCCAAGCCACTGATAAACTCCATCAACAGCAAGGATGCCCCAAACTTGGATGCTAACCATGAGTGTGCCAATCAGCAGCAAGGACTTCTGTCCTTCCTGGCAGCGTGTAGGCCCCCTCAGCTGCTAAAATCAGGGTCCAAAATTTGGCCATGCCCCCTCTTGCTCCCTCCTAGTTCATTGCCTCCAAATCCTCCAGCTCCCTGCTGTCCTCCTAATCCAGGAACAAGTCCCCTGTCCGCTGTGGGAGACGGGTCTTGCCCGAGCAAGGTTGAGACAGTTTTGCAGTGGTTCCTGAGCTGCTGGGAATATGCATACCACAGTTCAAAAATCCTTCGTATTAAACATGAAAGACCTGGGCCTAGCAAGGAGCAGCAACAGTGACATTCAAGGCAGTGAACATAAGGTGTTTTCGAAGAAATCTCTATTCAGTACAGAGAAACAACGCCATAAACCACAAAATGCTGGAATCTGTCCCACTGGAAAAAAGCCATGAGAGAGGAACTTTTGCAAATGCATCTCTGACCTGAGAGATAAAACAGAAATCTCAGAGCTGACTGTGAAACCAGCTTTGCATAGTCCAGTAATTGAGAAAGATAAGTTCAAGTTGTTGTCCTGACTTTTCTAAGGACAACGACCGTATTGGTACTACCTTTAATGGGGCCAGGGCATTACCGCTGAACTTTGTGCTGTTGATCCAAAGCAGACAACATCAAGTCATGTCAGTGCTCATATGAGCACAGGAATGAATTCAGTACAGTACTCAATTTGCTGAGGAAGTTTCCCATTAATAGGCAAACAGTATCACTTTGCTCAAAACCCATCCCTGCTTGTTTGAGGAAAGTCTCTATAAAATACTGCCATCTAAACAGTTTATGCGAAAAATACCTCCAGGGAAAAAATTTAACAGTGGCAATTCAAATGACAAACTGTAATGCATGGAACTCAGGAATGGAGCTGGCTTGAAGGAAGCAAAAGTGCTTTTCCTCTGAAGAAAACTTTGACTTCTTCAGGGAAAAACTAAAAAAAAAAAAGTCCTAGTCCAAAACTATAATATTTCATTTTTAAGAAGTGGCAATAGTGCCTTGAGTTTAGGAGTCTCAGCTTCCTTCTCTTTGGAAGGTAGCTTGAGGGCCTGTCTCCTTGTGTAAATTTTATTTCCATGGTATCACCCTTCTTTATAAAGAAACATAGGAAACTAACCCCATTTGCAAAAACTTGTCTTCAGTTGAACCTTCCTGCACCTTGACTGTTGGAAAATATTTTACCATTTCTTGTAAAAAAATTCCACCTTGTAAAAAAGAATTAATGCATAAGGTATAAATAAATACCAGTTAAATATGTATCTTTCTGTTGGGGAGGAAAGGCTTGCTTTGTTTTTTCTGCTTTAGTAATAGTTATGTGTTATCTTCAGTTGCAATAAAATATGTTTTTTATTAATATTGTGACAAATAAAATTAAAAACTCCACTGACCTGTGTGTATGTTGTACTGAAAAGTCCTCTACTCCTGAAATGCTATTTCTATCCAGACAAGTCAAATGCTGCCGATACTCTTTGTTTCAGTCACATATCCTTCTTTCCTTAAAATCAGAAGTCACCCTGCCCCATCCAGAATATGCACACTACTTACATTCTTCTGTGAGACCCAGACACTAAGAAAAACCTAAATTGAAACTGGTATGGTATTTCAGGCTTAAAAATAAATACAGGTGAAGCTACATTCAGCACGAGGTAAAAACCACCCCTTGCAAAAAAAACTGCCCACACTGTAAACAGGAATAAGCGCTGTAACATTTCTGAGTATCATGATGCTGGGAATTCCCTCTGCGAGCCTTGGATTTAAACCATACATTGATTTTTCATAAGCAGTTCTAAAATTAGAAAAGGCTAGGATCTGACAAGTATCCTTTCTGTTTAGTCCGAGCAGATGGAAACCATGAGGTGCTTTCTCAGCTTGAATCTATTCCAAAACCTGAAGCACGAATCTGACATACTAAACTGAATCTATATAAAGTCTTGTGTCTTTACATCACGCAACATCATTTGTGGCATGCTGGGCGGTGACAGTTTAAGTTATGAAAATGATGTATCAGACAGCAGATCAGAGCTGGCTTTATAGCAAGTCTCATGAATTTCTTCATCCAGAAAGAATAAATTTTGTTTGGGAGCATTCTGCATAGCAGCCCTGCAGCGCAATAAATTAAAACTGGATTTTAGCATTTACCTCTTGCTTAACTATAAATCGGGAATTAGAATTGATAATGGCAGTTATCCATCAACAGCAATGCAAACGCAGATGAACAGGAGTAACTTTATAGGTAAAAGGAGTTCCTATTTTTTGTTATTATTAAAGAAAAGCTATCCTCTTCCCCTATTTGAAAAGTTTCTAGGCTCTGGATAGAGAGTGATTAGATCCATGCAGATTATTAGCATGAATAAGGAAGACACTCTTGAAGTAACATCTCTCCAGACTGCAGAACATTATCCTGAAACTCTAGCAGTGGGCTGGAGCTCAGATGCAGCAGTTCACATTGCAGATGCCTCTTCACAGAAGACCAGGAAGGGATGTCTACCACAGCCGGCAGGATTCTGCCCCTCGGTTCATCGTTGTATTTGTTGGGCAATTGAAAGCTTTACGGAACTCTTCGAAGTTGCTCATGGCACCGATAACTCTGCAAAGAGAAAAGAGAAGTGATCAACGTGCAGGTTGTCTTCTGTTAAACACTACAGGCCTGTAAGTGTTTCACTGTGTTCACTTTGGATTGTATTTTCAGGCTTCGCATGTCATTTTTCCACAAAGAAAACCAAAAAGTCCAGGAGAAGCACTCCCATTTAAAGTTAATGTGAAGACAATCTTGTTTCATTTGGTGCTTTGAGAAGCATCTTACTTTGCTAGAAACTCAGCCAAAACCAGCTGCATTTTGTGGATACCAGGTCATTTAGAACAATTTTGTAATCCGACCCGCCGCAGCACAGGTGGGAGCTCAGCGGTAGCCTTGCACGGTGGAATCCTTCTCCCAGCACCTGCCAAACCGCTGCAGTCCAGCAGGCGGGAGCACGTGAGCACACACCATGGTTGTGGTGGAGGTGGTTTGATTTGGCTGGTGCCAGCCAGATTCTTGCAGCAAAACCCTCTGCCCACCCACGTACACACACACGGACGCTTGCTGGCTCCCCGGGACTTCGCAGCCTGCAGCTGGGCGGGCAGACAGAGCCTCTTACGGGCCAGCTCAGCCTCAGACCTGTAAGCATCCCATCTCCTCTGATATTTCGGAAACAGGTTTTCTGAGGCTTCTGCCCTGACCAGCTCCCAAGCTCTCTTGCTTCTGCCACAGATGGTGAGACATTGAAAGAGCAGCGCATCCCTGCCTCACAAGCTAGACAATGTGTCTGCAGCCCAGACTGGCACCTGCAGGCACAGGGGAAGAGCTCGCTCTTTGAATGCAGTCATCCTTGCCTCCTGCTTTCATGTCTGTGTTATTCCATGCTGTCAGAAATTATTATTTTACCATTGCTAAATTGGGATTGTGGTGTTTGCTGATTTTTCCTATGCTTTCAGGCATGTTGGAATTTACTAACCTCAAATTTGCAATGGCATTAAAGTAAACAGCATCCTGAGTTAAAAGCAGAAAAGTATCTACTGAGATATTAACTGTATGCCTTTCCAGCCTCTTTGTTATGCATTGGGAAGGCATTTTTCTCCATTGCAGACAATCAGCTTCTCAGCATAGCTCAGCGTGGTAGAAAACATTCTTATTACATTGATTAGATTTTCTGTGGGTAAGAAAATTTGCAGTCAGCTGGTGCAAAAATTTCTAAAGGTCAGTTTTGTAGGGAGAATTAAAAAATTATTTTAGGCTTCAAATAAGATACACAGCTTTACTGTAAAAACATTGCAAATATATATTCAGGGAGTGGAACAACAAGAGCTGGTCATGCAGAACTGCTGCTGCTGAAGGTGGTGGGAGTTCTGCCTGCCATGCTAGGGATGTCACTCTGAAACCTGCATTCAAAAATAGCCACACATTAGCTGTGGAATCAGAGTGGGCTGTCCGGATTTCATCCCGTTCAACTACAACAGAGACACCTTCCCCTGAACAGGTCACTCTGGGCTCCCTTGACAGTCAATATAAAGATGTACTTGCAGAGCCTAAGTAATCCAAATTTATTACTTATAGAAAGATGATATGTAGAGATAGATATATACTATATATACACACTTTCAAAATGCCTATTCTTTTTGGACTATGCCTATTCTTTTTTGACTGTGGAAAGAACCTGAGGTGACTAGCTCAGATGCACACACCTATGCTCAGATGTGTTGCTCATTTCTATCATCTTTTATAGTTACTTTTCATAATTACTTTAAAAAGGGCTGTTTGGGATTTTTGGATACCAAGAGCTATCAATGTTGAAACTAGCTCTACTGCTGTTATACTGATAATGGTCTTGGGACATTAATGAAGCAAAGCTGGGGGAAACAGACAATATAGTTTGTTGACAGAGTTGATATGTTTTGCAAGAAGAGACAAGAACCACAATTTCTCTTCAGGTTTGAAACTGAAGCCTGTTCTGAGTATCTCACATAATAAATAAGTTTTTTCTGTATTTTCTTGACCCCAAATTCATCTCATCTTCTCTGGAATTTTCTTTCTTAGCTCAATTCCTTCATGAATTTTCCTCATGAATGATCTGTCCCCAGGATTCCCTGTATATTTTGTGGCTTACACCAGCTCATGGAGATGTAGCTATGTAACGATTCAGAATATACAAGTATACATGTAGGTAAATAAATAAGAGGACTTCAAAAGGCAAGAGATGGTTATTTGCCAAAAAATTAGCAAGGATAGGAATTATAAAAAAATATCACTCTGTAGGCTGAAGATCAGCCAGATACTCCTGCCCTCATTGTCAAGGTGTATTTTTAATTGTTAAAAGGCATGCAGATTTGCATACTGCTCTAGTTTTACCATACCTAACTGGTGTAACAGGTGTTGCAAAGGTACAGTAGTGCAGGTATCAATGCAGAGTATAGAAATCTAAAGACCTAGCACACACATCTGCAATGCTAGCTTATATTGAATTTATGTCATCATGTTTCCAGTTCCATTATGTCTTAATCCATTTTGACTATAAGTGGCCCAAGGTGTGTTATGCATGCCATGTTTGTCTTCAGTTTTGGCGTGGCTGTGTCAGCGGAACATGTCAGAGTACCTATGAAGCAACCTCACTACTCCCCTGTGAGGGCAGTATTGCTATTTTTACTTTACCAAGAAAGAACTGAGGCAAAGGGGGCTCATCACCTAAATTTAGCTGTAGAGAATGTGGGATCCCAGCTCTCTCTTTTGTCAACAGAAAGAAGTAGGAATCTCCAGAAGGCAACTAATCCTTTGTATTGGAGACACCGCCATTATGAATCAGCTTGTGGAGTTCATATCCTTCCCCCAGATACAGAGGTAATGTAGCACTCGACTGAAGACAAACACACAATTCTTAATTAAGTAAATACAACCGCCATGAATCCCAGCAGAAGAAACTTGCTCTTGGTCTCATAAACTCTGTGGAGAAGTAGAGAAATAAACTCTGGCTTCCTAATTTCTATGAAGTCTTTAAATCATCCTCCTTTTCCAGCCTTTCCTTCTTGAGGTTTGCAGATGTCTCTGGTTAGAAGAGCCTGTGGGAGGCCTTTTGGGCAAGGACACAGACGCTGTTATGACTGGACTGCCACAGCTCCTTCAAGAAAAGTGTTTCTTGAAGGGCAACTAGGAGTTCAGTCTTGAACTGTACTTACAGAGCATTATCAATATAATTCAAGGTACTCACTTTAAAGCTTTTAATGAACTCAGGCAGATTAAATCAAGGACCCTCCTAATATTCATTGTTTTCTAAAGTAGAATTGCATAGAAAAAAAGGTGATAGATTAGACATTTTAGATACTCGGGCCATTATTATAGAACATCACAGGGTCAGAATGTGTGCTGGTTCAACTGTTTTTGAAGGTAGATGCAAGGCCCTCATTTTTACAAAAGAGCATTTGTAATAGTGAAAGATAAGCTAATAAAAACAGTTCAATTTCAATCTAAGCCAAGAGCACAGTCCAATTTTGTGTTTGCTCTTAAACCCCTCTTAGCATGCTAAATTTCTGCACTTGTGTGCTGCAGTGATTAATTCTGTATGTATACTGAGTACATACATTATTTGCACTACCTGAACTGAGGAGGGCTGTGAGCTCCAATATAGATTTGCTCTCTCGCAGATTCTGGTCTAAAGGAGTTGCATCTCACCTAATAAAAGATAAAAAGCAGAAACAGGCATGTTATCTGGGATGACTTTGGAAGTGAAGTAGAATGTAATGTCACTGTTCTTAAGATGCCTATGACTTACAGAATGCGCAAAATGGAAAGACAGCACAAACTCCTACTTTGTTCCACCTTTGCTAACTTGCAGTTTTCTGTTGGTATATTCTCTTGTTTTTCAAATCCCTGAATGGATCCAGTTTCCACCCACTGTTATTCTCCACCCACTCATTCCATCCTCTAATCACAGTCACTTTCCTAGTTCTTTTTTTGAGGTTCTATATAATGGCAGCTTACTTTTCAGCTTGTGCTGTAGCATCTGACACCTTAATAGTTACTAAGCATACTTGTGGTCTCAACGCTATGCAATGTGTATAAAAGGTACACGGAATGATGCTTATCATCTCTAGAATTACAGCTATATTACCTGACACATTTGTTCCATGTTGGAATGTCACTTTCTTTTGAAATCAGACATTTTTTAAGTTTCTACCAGTGGTCCCCAGTTCACTATTCCTAATACAGTACTTGAGCCAGTTGTCACTGACCACAAAACAGGGTAGAGAGCATATTTGCACAACTGAGTAATCCCTCTTATGCTGTATCCATTGCATGAAAAATCTAATTTAGGCAGCCCCTGCCTTACATAAGCCTCTGTGTTGAATATTTGCTATTGACAAAATCCTTTACACCAGACTGTCCATTGGGTATGTGGATTTCAGTGCAATTTTGTCTGGCTGAAGACAGCCCTGACAGTTTGAATGAATCTGTTGAGGGTCTTGAGCTCTGTGGAAATAGGCTGAGCTCAAGGGTACCTGGCATAAAGTATTCTCACTGTGCATGTGCCTCCCCTCAGAGGGTCCACTGGACGTACGATTCCTGCAGTGATCCTGTAAGACCCTCAGATCTTCCCTGTGGCTTCAAAGTTGTCCTGGAGAAAAACTGACATAGTGTCAAACTTAACTCAGCACAGAAAACCAAAAAGTAGAGTCTTCTCGTTAGTCAGTATTGTCAAACTTAAGTGGCCATAGACCCACACACTGCTACACTGACTCTCGGCAGAGAAGTGATTTTCAGCCAGGGCTGGTTAAAAACCAGCATTGGCTGCATTGGGTCCTGTTTCTTCAGTTTAGATGACTCATTCCTTCAAATGGTGGGCAAAGTTTTATAGCCCAACTTTTACTCCTTATATAGGGAGTTTATCCCAACTCTCTTAACCAAAGAAATAATTTCTGATTCTCTCTCTTGTTCTACATATTATTCTAAAAAAATTACATTCCCTATCAAAGTTTTACCACAGCATATTTAGTGAACAGCAAACAAAGATGGGAAAAAATAAACTAAGATTTTCTTCACTGCTGCTTAGTTTCTCTAAACAACACGCTCAGTAGTGAATGGTGGTGGTACATTTGCAACAGGAGTCTGTGGTGGAAGCAGTCAGAAACTGGTGCATATGGCAGGCAGCAGAAAACTGGGAGGCTAAAGTGGAAAGGAGTTAAGGAGTCAATACGTACCAAGAAGACTCTTGCAACAGAGGGAAGCAGCAAGAGGAAAGAAAGCTGCCATGAGAACGCTGTGCAAAACCAAGAATAATTTCAGCAGTTCTGGCACCGTGGATAGACAGATGAGGACAAAGAGAGAAAGAGAAAAGAAATAATAGTCCTGGGAGAAGAAGTCTCTGCTTATACCCTGAAAAGTCGAAGTCTGGCTGGTGTAGATTGTTAAAACAAAGCAGTCTCATCTCTGCACTGTACATTGTGCAGGTTAATAGGTGGGGACACAAAACACATTTGTACTACTCACATGGGCATAACTCAGAAAGAAAAGCTGGTTGTGTGTGAACTCAAGGCCTGGCAGTAAAGGCTCCTCTTCTCCTCCCCTCTTTTCTGCAATCCATCTCCTGTATGCCTGATGAGAAAGAGATACTGAGCGCCTTTCAGCAATGCGGAGCCTAACCACAGCTTTTCCTTTTTTTTTTTTTTAAGTAATACTATGTTTCAGATATTTTCATCTACTTACCCTGAAAGCCTCTCGCAAACCTCCATTATCTGCAATATTTTCTGCCAAAGTCCTCTTGCCTTTCACCTGGCAGAATGAAGGAACATAGTCATTTGACTCGTTTCTGAACTTCCTTCTTGATCAACTTCAAGAAATAGGGGCAAAATTAAAACAAGGCAAGAATGACCTCAGCCAATTTCACCCATCATATCTCTTGTTAAGAAAACTGGATTCCAATGTGAAAACTGTCAGTAAACAATTCTCTGTGATGAGTTATCCTGGCCCTGATCCTAGATCTCTGTAGCACAAAATGTAGTAGATAAAATGCACTCAGGAATCCAGTCACTGATCTTTGACCTAAGCATCAATAATTTTCCCCTCAGGACTGTTTTTCTGTGGTTACATGTGAGATCTAGTAGCCCTCTGGAAATGTTTCTCTACATAACTCTCTACACTACTGGGATGCTAAAATAACTTTTAAGTCATAACCTGAAATAGCATAATTAAAAATAATTGCCAAAGACAGAATTGAAATTGATAGTATATTCAGTGTTCTAAAAATATCTGCGAAGGGCATACACATTGCTTTTCCCCAGTATTGATTCAAGAGCAAGAGCAACAAAAATACATTGCAAGAAGCAACGCCATCTAAACTTTCCGAAAAAGCCAGTCTCCTGGTATTACTAAGTGCAATGTCATTATGCAGAAGTTCTCCTTTCTGCAAGTGCAGCACTGTCCTGATCAGCCAGCCTACTAGGGTCTTAGTGTTATCAAACTGGTTTTCGTGATTAAGCACTTTTACTCTCTACTATGCTTCAAATGAGTGGGGTAATCAAGTATAGTTTTGAGCAGAGCTCTGGAGGTCAAAGCTGTCTTGCAAATCTTCCAATGACAGGGTGTCCTATGTTGCAGGGATGAGTACAGGGGGGTTGGTGTCAGCACCCATCTTAGTTTCAGCGTGGTAAAAGAGGGGAAAGCAGGGGAGAAGAGGTAAAGGGACCTACAGGATACCCAGGTACATGTGCCCAGGCCCACCACTCAGTGCAGATGAGCACCTGGATTGGACTTAAGGCATCTTGCTTGATGCCTTAGGTTCAATATTACACCCAGGCTTGTACCAAAGGAGAAATGGGAGCAACAGAAAAAAGCACAGCCCTTTCCTGCCAGCCCTCCCTCCCCTAAGGAGGCTGGAGATTGAGGTGGTAGAGAGGATTTTTGGAGAAAAGATGTCGTCTCTTTTTCTGGCCTTCATACTCATACATTGTTCTTGCAGTGGACTTGTGAAGTAGACTGATGTAGACAATAAGATGAGAGTAACCTAGCAGTGGCACATGGATCATAGGTCATTTTAATAAGCAGAGGAAGTCTTTTTGTTGATCTCAGGCTGCTCTGGGTCAAGTATCTGAGACTACTCTGTGCAGACAGTTCATGACAGGGCTCAGGGACCACAGTAAGCCCTTTACTTGGTCAGACAACTTTATGCGATTACTGCACTCTGAAACTATTCCTATATCCACTTTTTCTTTCATCACACTTCTTTTATGGAGACTTTTTTATTGTGAACTGAATGAGAAAGAACAAGAGTAAATACGTTTCCTGATCCGTGTGAAATATTCGTATAGGGGTGAAAAACCTGAACAATGTACAAATATTAATTTCAAAGCCCCCCAAAAAAAAGCTCTTTGCATGTATAGCTGTTCAGACAGAAGCTATAAAATATGGCAGAAAATACGAAGATTCTTCTTCTATCATCTAAAAAGTGCTCTAGGTTATCCCATGGAAATAGAAGGAAAAAGCCTTGTGGATGACAAGGCTATGGGTAACTGGATTTCTCTAGTAAGTCCATCCATGGACTTCAAAGGCAGTAGCTACACTGGAGGGGAAATTCAGAGCTTCCTACCTCAAGAGACACCGCAGAAGGCAAAGGGAATGGCCAAGCCAATGGCAGGAGCATGGGAAGGGCTCAGTCACATCCTTGGGGCTGTGTTTTTAATGACCTTTACGTGGCATTTTTGTATTTACAGTTTTTGTCCTTCAGATATTAGGGAATAAGCTTGAGAATTTTTATTTGTAAATTAGCTTATATGAAGTACTTCAAGTCTGAGTTGTTGGACTTCAGACTGGACTGCAGTATGTCCTTGATATCTCTGAGACTAAAACAAACAGCCTGGGGAAAGTGTTAAGATTATTGCTAAGCATTCAGTGTGACCTCTCTATTGCTGAAAGGCAAAGACATAACTGTATTTCTGATTCTAAAATGTAAGTAGAGGTGGTAGAATTGAGTAGGGAGTGGGGTATGTGTCTTATCCTGAAAATTAAGATTAAAATCATGTCCCAGCCAACATCACTGGAATTTTAGCTATTAATTTCTCACGGTCTGGAATTTATCCTATTTATCTGTCATTTTGGACACTTACATAATGTGTACATTTTCAGGGAAGCACATAGGTCTGATAGACAATGAAACGGTAAACATTCCCTTGCACTTTCCTCCTCAATCCTTTTCTATGAGCTACTGCTATCATACTCCTTTCATTTGAGACACAAATTGGGTCTGCGTGCAGACATGGAAGAAATAGCAAGAGTTGAATCAGAAATGAAGTAGGGTTTATGCATCCATTTTATAGCTGTAATAAATAACAGGTGGAATTGCTAAAGGAATCTATAAAACATGCTATTATATTCTTCTTTCAGAAAGAGTGGCTGCTGAATTTTCATTATGGACCTCATCTTCAGAAGACATTTAACACGCTCACAGTAATTAGACCAGCCCTGCTGAGTGGCTTCATCCTCTTCCTCTCATTCCAATATGATGTGATGGGGAGAAGTGGTTTAACCCTGTCATCAGTATGTGGGTAGTGGTATTTGACTGGACTAATCAAATCTGACAGACAATTTTTATCACAATTATTCACTTCAAAAAATGATTTGTTGTGAGAAATGAATTTGGTAGCCTAATACCCCAATATGTTGAGATGTATAAAAAGATAACTTCAAAAAAAAATCCCCAAACTCCTAATGTACCACTGCTTTCAATCACTGGTGTTTTCCATACATGTAAGCCAGCTCTCTTCCAGTAGTAATTGCTGTATTGATTAACCATGCATTTTGTTTTCTCTTTAAATTTTTCTTCCGAGTCAGTTGTCCACCAAGGGTCTAAATTTCCATTTCTGTCATATTTTCGACCTTAAAAAAAAAAGAAAGAAGCAAAGAAACAAAACAGGTATTTTTCTTGGAGAAAAACCCATACATTTACAGTTTTGGAATCTATCACCTGCACAGAAATGAGAGGTGAATGTACTCATGCAAGTGTACGTACAAAACAGATAAGATTAGTAAGCAAAATCTTGACCCCATTCAAGTCAGTAGTGAAAAGCTGGTGTTCTATTTATTGTCATAATTTCCATTTTCAGAAAAAAATAGTAATGACGAATGAGTTCTATAGTACTTTTTGTAAAGTACATAGTGTAAGAGGCATATGAGATTTCTTGGAAGTATAATTGTGAGTATTTTTCATTCTTAGCCCATATGTCTTTGATTCTGCAAACTTGATGATAACTAATTTATTATTAATTAATTACATGCTTGACTAGAAAAAAAAAAATCTGTTTCATGGTAACACCTGGAGTTTCCATTTTTTGCGCTGGAGCAAAACCGGAACATTTGAACCCTATTTGTGGGAGCAAGGAGAATACATACATCCCGTTCCCCACATTGATGGTTACAGCAATGGCTCATGGAAGATTCAGCCTCAGGTCCATGCTCCGTCTCATTTGTAGGAGGGTGTTTAATGTCCATCACCTCTCCAGCCAGTCAGAAATAAGACACATTAGGACTTCTTTTGAGAGCAGGTTTAGCTGCCCATGTGGATGCAGCCTTGCTCTGTGGTTTGATTCTTGGTTACAGCTGCAGGAAAGAGAGGTAGAGAGCAGCTAGCAGACATGACACCAAGTACTGAAGATGTTCTCTTTTGTCATTTTATTTCTTTATTTTTTTCCCGGTGTGTTGTCTTGTTCAAGATGTCAAATTCCCTAGAGACGTATTTATTTCTATATTTGTAAGGTAAGAGCCTGGACAAGAGGTAGTGGTCTGCTCAGGGAATCAAATCTTAGGTTCCTCTCAGACTGGCTGGAGGCATGATGGAGGTTAGCTACTCTCCTACAAATGAGAGTTTGTGAAGAAACACTTCTCAGTTCTGGAGTGTTCGCTGACACAAAATGTTGCAGAGCAGTGCCAGCAGGATACAAGGTTTTCCTTTTATTTTTAAAAAGGTATTCAAAGTAACACAACATAAGCAAACTTACTTCAGTTAGGCAGTGAGCTAGGAGCCTGCTTTTCCTTAAAATTGCCATATTTTCAGTGGAAAGAGGTTTCTCTAGACAGTGAGTCAGAGCGGGATGTCAGTCAGACACTCAGAATTGCTCCCCGGAGGAGGAGGTTCATGTTTCTCTCTCCCTTTCCCACCCCCTTTCTCTCTCAGGAGCCCAATTTTAAAAAGCACTTTACCGAGATAGCCAAAGTTAGATGGTGGTAATGCCTCACTCCACCCAGTTTTTCAGGACAGTTGGTTTGACATTTTCAGAACATTTCTTCTCTCTCTCTGTCTTTTTTTTTTTTTTTTAATTTTGCACTATGTTTTCTGTTCCACTTTTATTCCAGTGTTGTATTTTAATATTCATACGTAATTGTCTTTTGAAAAAGGTCAAAAATGAAATAACAAGTTTTCTTGGAAGTCATCTATATCAACCAGAAGTTATCCTTTTGCCTTTCCCACTCCCCCCAGCCAGGACTTTCTGAATCTGTTGCTGATTTAGTTTCCATTCAAAATATACAGAAAACATCAATCTTGTGGCACTCCTTACCAAACAAAATCTGGTTCAGACAAGCAAGATTGTATGTAAATAAATTAAAATATACAACTTTATAATTTTTTTCAAACAATTCAGCATTGTTAAAAAACAAAAGAATAAAGAACTGAAGCATATACAAGTCAGCTTTCTAACCTGCCAACCTTGAAAAAAACAAAAATCAACATGCAGACAAATATTCACCATTGCTATCAAATCCATGAGTAAACTCGTGGCCAACAATTACTCCTATGGCACCGTAGCTTAATGACCTGTAAAACACAGAAGAAGTTTCCTCAGAAAGTGTCCACACTCGTGACCATCAAAGGACAGAACACAGAAGAATCAAACAGATTTCTACCTCAGAGAAGATGATTATTTATTTAAACTGGCAGTGAGGTGGGGAATGGGACTAAAAATCATACCTGCATGATTTTGGCTTAAAGTTGTTGAAAGTCTGAATGTTAAACTCTTACATGTTTAAAAATAACTTTTAATATAAAACTTTAAAAAGCATTGTGATAGTTCACTCTTCTAATCAAACCTCTTATTAGTATCATATGAGCTCCAGAAAGTCTCCTTCAGCTGACTGCAATTGTGTATATTGTAACTGAGAACAGGACAAAGTTATAGGTGAAATTATTCTCTTGCTGTCGTCATCAAAAAAAGAATAGATCAAAGGCTGAAATGGGCTTCTGTAATGCCAGCTCCAATCATTCTTCACCAGTGTGCAACAGACAGACTTGCAAATCACTGACTCCAGAGAACCAGAATAGAAAGAAATACTTAGTATTCCTGATTGATAATTAATTATATTTTCCTCATTATATCTAAATAAACATGCATATGGGAGAAACACAGATGAAAGTGAGAAAGATTCAGGGCTTTTTTCTATCCAATACAGTGGATATTGCGGGGGCAAAGTGATGCAGTAAACGCATCTTTCATTTGTTGTTTGTTGTGATTTTAATTATTTCAGTTATTGAGACGCCATACTTCAAATTAGCTTATACTATTTCTAACACATAGTCTTGAAATAGGAGAAAGGCAGAGGGTTTCGAAGTAGCATATTACTGGACCTAATGATCCATAGCACACTAATTGCTCATCTCAGTCATGCCCAAGAAGTATTATATGATTTAATTGCCCCTGCTCCCATGATAATATTTCACTTTGTTTTTTTCTTTCCTAAAAGGTAATTTGCATGTGGTAAAATCTTCCCTACTGTTTTTTTTCCCCCAAGTACTATTGCAAATCTTCACTAAAAAATGCTGGTTAAAATTATACATTTCAGCAATGGAAATATCATCCTTTTGTGTGATAAATTTGTAATTGAGTGTAGCACACAGTGATAATTACCCATAATAAATGTACTAGATTTGACTTGTTTTCCACATCTGGAAATATATGAGATATTTGGGATCTTTTGCAGTTGGAGAAGTATAAAAAGAATGGCATGAAACATGTAAAGAGGTCAAGAAGAACCAATAAGCCGTATTACTAAATACATCTTATTTTTCCCCTAAGGTTCTTGGTCACCATAAGGGGCATAGACAAAGAACAGGCTGGTGCCCAGGCACTCCTAGGGCTTTCCCCAGCTCCAAAATATGAGGTGAAGTTCGGGGTGAATTTTGGCCTTTCCTTCTGTGAACCGCTTTCTGCATTTTATCCAGCTGAACAACATTTTTCGCCAGAAATGCTCCCAGCTCTGTTCATGCTCTTCACTTCTGGGGTACAGCTGGACAGAGGTGGAGGGGATTAGCTGAAGCCCGACAGGTACTATATTAGAGGGGAACTTTCTGGGACTGGACTGTAATGGGGGACTGTAATGTGGACTGTAATGAAGCTACCATCTCAGGTAGTCTGAGGTCTCTGTATCAATATATCTGCAATTGAAGACTCATAACTGTGAATGATGGCATTTGAATGGTATTTTATTTCACGTACTGAGATGTAAAGTGATAACTTAGCTTCTCTTTATGCAAATGGATGCAGCTGTTTTATAGTGGTTGTGCTGGAACTGGACAGTAAAACACCACTAAATGTTAAATATCTGCTAAATCAGTTTTCCAGCAAGTGCTGATGACTTTTTGACGATTTTTCTATTCCAGTGCCATGTACTGTTTCTTTTTAGCAGACAGAAAACAGATCCAGAATATTTCAAGGACAAAAGCAATCTGTTGTCTGATATAAACCAGCCACATTTGTTTACTAAATTTCATTTTGATACGTAGTCAAGCAAAACCAATTTAAGCTAAGGTAACCTTTGAAGAAGTGAAGTGAGCACAGAATAATTCTTTGAAAGAACCACAATTTTATCGCTATGGCAGAAGGTCAGGGTACAGAGAAATCTCTTCAGAAAGCAAAGCTGGACACAGGTCTACAACAACCACAGCAGAAATGAAGTTCACGTTAACAAGAAAGGACTTTCTTCTATCCCCAATTACCACTTAGACAGTCACCTGGCTCATAAGAATTGTCTTTGAATGCAAGTTCATTTGTTCCTAAATTGAATGTGCCTCCGTACATATATTGCCAAATTTCCTGTTTACAGGGACACATCCAGATTGGAAGGTGGCAAACCCCAAACATTTTAAAACTTTTTTTTTTTTTTAACAAAGATGTATTAAGGATATGTTTCATCAGTAATTGGCTTTATATAACTACAAAATAATTTTCAGAAGCTTCTGTCAGAAACTTTTGATGGTCTTATCCTGTCCTAAAATAGAAAGTTATTGAACTGCACAAAAGCAGTGATTTTTCAAAATTAGTTATATGTGACCTATAATTACTCTTCCTCAGCTGCAGTGACACATGGGCCTGCTCAGGCAATCACTTCTGCATACAGAGATATTCTCACGCACCTCAAGAGGCACAGGAAAAGGCCCACTGTTAATCTTAGATATTAGCAGAAAGTGAACAATACATTGCTAATAAATGGCTTCTCAGGGTATTCACTTCTGTTCAGGAAGTGTTAGCTACCTGATTTATGATTCCTTTTAATACCCGCCATGTGCACACTGCTGCATCTGCATGCTGCAGCATTGAAACACTTCCACTCAGGTGCACTTAATTAGCAATTCCTGTGACAAATCAGTCATCAGTTTAAGACAACAGCAACACATACAGCTCCCAAGGGTAGGAAAAGTTATCGTACAAAGCAGCAGTTTTCAAAGTCTAGTTTTTCAATAGGAAAAGGAGGATGCATCAGGGAAGAACACACAACCCAAGGGCCAGGCTTTCCCTGCAGAAGGACAACACAGTATTCCTGTGCACTATCTGTTGGTCTTCTTTGGCAGTATAGTCTTCTTCTCCATGCCCACTTCTCTGTCTATATGTATTTCCCTTTCCCTGCTATTGCTTATTTCCAGGTGTATGAGGTGCAGTACTTACCTAGGATACTCTGTTCCCCAAAAGAAAGGTTTTTGCAGCTCTCCAGCTGGAAATCCTACAATAGCAAGAACAGTAATAGTGAGGTCCCTAGTTCAATACCGCTGAATAGCAGTCACAAGGCCCAAGGATATGGATTTTATGACCTTTTTTGTTTAGTTTCAGAAGGTTTTGCTAGAGGAGCTTTCCCTCAGGTGTTAGTTTCAAAATGCACTGGAGAGAATCTTTGAGAAGAAGCAGAGGTCCTCCCTCCTTCAGGACCACAATGGCAACAAGATGCTGCACTGCAAGAACTTTGTTTTCTTCCATGGTTGCACGCATGCCTGTATGTCTCAGTGCATGTGTTTCTGTGAAAAAACATCTAGTGTTTCCTGTGAGGAAAACTACTAGATTGCCCTCAGATCTGTTGACAGATCAACTGACATCATATAAGTAAAACGCAACAAGAATTCAGAGAGTGTTAGCATTAGTGAGGCTTCAGTGCAGCAAGAGTCATCTGAAAGTGACAAAATGTAAGCATAATTCTATATAGTCTATGAAAATCAAAGGTAAATGAACATATTTAGGCACTTCACTTCAGTAAAGGAGAGCTGTAGACTATTCAGGCTGTAGAGTCAGTCTAGCTACAGTAATTACCTGACTGCTTCTGGTAGACTAACTAGTCGCCAAAAGTCTGTCCATGGAGACACTCTAGTGAGTGGTGATCTACAATGTTGCACATAGGAACCGTAATTGTTCCTCAGATTCAAAGTCATGGGCCTATTTCAAATTCTGGGATGACACAGATGGTCGGACTTGATGATCTTAGAGGTCTTTTCCAACTTATGATTCTGTGATTCTATGATTTCAGTGTTACTATTCTGAACACAGTGGAGCTGAACATGGTAAGCTTTAACAGCCCAAAGAACTGCTAAATAAACCAGACACCTATGGACAAAGCTTTCAAATGCTGGTGAAAAGTGCAGTCCTTCCAGGCCCAAATATGGAATTTGATGTCTCATGTCATGAATTCCCATCCATAAAGCATGGGCACACACCTACTTTGAAGGTTACTTCACATGGACATCATTTTGTCAATGAGGAACCAGTTTCCTCAGGTGATTCACTTCCTTTCCCAGGAACCTCTGCTTCAGCTTGTGGGTCTCTCTTCAAGGAATCACCAGGCAACTCAGATCAATACAAAAACCACATTCACTTGACCCTATTCAGTTTTTTTTTGATAAATAGGACATGGATTTCTTTTTATATGAGATAAATTGTCAGGCAAGATTTTCATCCTTTCCTTATAAAGTATTTGAAGACAATAGGCTGAGTGTAATTCATGTCAAATGTTGTGGCAAGTGGCATGTCCTCCTAGCCTGCCCATCTGTGTTTTTCTGCTGCTACTGCCCAGCTGCCTTGACTACCTATTTGCAATTAGCTTACAAACACTGTGGTTTTCAAACTTATTTTCTGAGTGATTTTTTTCTCCTATTTCTCCGAATGCCATTCTGTTGCTTCAAGTATGCTATCATTTGCTTTTCCAGTGCTACAAAACACAATTTTACCAATGTCAAGGACAAAATTTTCCTGATCTGTCTTTGCCATCCAGCACACACAGACGAGCATTTTCTATGTATGTTTTTAAACATAAACTGCTTGTTAGTACACTAAGGTAAGAGCTAGTGTCAAGAGCTAGAAATCTAGTGTGAGCTATTGCTTGGTTCCTTCCAAATACTGAACCTCGGGAAAGGTTTTCTGGACATGCCAAAGAGACCATTTAATGAAGGAATCATTAGGGTTCACTAACCTTGAATGATCCTCTCCCCTCAACATCAGATGAGAGGAACTGTGGCCAAAACAAACAAATGATTCCATACTGAAAATGGTATGAGCCAAGGCAGCATAGGCACCCCACAAATCACATTTAGGGATCACACAATCCTGTGTGCCTGTCACTACACCAAGAGGCCATCAGGATGTTGTGAGTAGCTGCAATTTTTTTTTCCAGATACAGGCTTGTGTAGTGAATTTGCACTTGCTTGTGTGCCAGGTAATATACATTATTTGCTGTAACCTAGGTGCAAACCTTCACTCAGGCTTATCCATATAAGAAATATAATCTAAAGGTGTCTTCATAGGACATTGCTGAAACACCATCAGATGTGAGTTAAGCCATGAGATAAATTTTTCACTGTCATGTGAATAAATGGGAAGAAGCTCCAATGCTGAATCCATACAACAAGTTGGTAATTATTTTACTCAAAGTCAGGATCCAGTTTAGGTAAGACATGCCTGAGCATAGAGCTTGTTGAATGAGTGGTTTCTGCTTCTGGACAGCTGTACGAAACACCTTTGTAGTTTGATTGCCCTAAAGGAAGCTTAGAAAGTGTTTTCAGGCTAAAGCAGAGTCAGAGGTCACTAGAATGTAATACACATTTAATAAAAACTCAGGGAACTGGAATGTATTACCCACAATAGGATTTTTTTTTCTTTTTTAAGAAAAAAATTATCTAGCTTTGAAAGTGATTCTTGGGCAGCTAGTAAAACAAAGGTGTCCTGTTCTCCAGATATTAGTAGCCATAAACGAGGGAGAGTGCTTGTCCACTATTGCAATGCTATGAGGAACAGATTCGGAGTTGGCAACACAGGGCATCCTTCTGTATGCAGTGTTTCCCTCAGGCAAGCGTCAACCAGATCATCCTTGGAGGGAACAAGGATAACAACTTCCTGGACCTAGAATCTCCTTGAAATTATAACAGGAGATAGATCACCTGACAGTTTCTTATTTTATGTTGTTTTGAATCCCTCAATTTAGGCAATTCCCTTGTCAAGTCTGTTTCTTGTTTGCTTGGCATACTGTACCTAAAAGAATTAATGACAAAACTCAGAGAGCTCATAGTAGGCTGTAGAAGCAGTAAATACTAATGGAATTATTTATATGCCACTGGATTTCAAGCAAGCAAAGCACTCATCTGGAGGAGTAAGTCAGACAGACTTCAGAGAATTTCATATCTTAAGGAATGGATACAGGCACCGGGAAGGTACTTTAAGCTAACACTTCACCATAAATTTGGCCTGTAGTGAATCTTTTCATGCTTTCTCCCGCTACACAGCCCCAGAAGAGGGATATGGGCTGAAAGTCTCTCTCTCCATACACGTTATTGCTAGTGCAGGCTCGGAGCCATCACTCACCAACAGCATGCAGAAAGAAAACTGTGTTGTCTTACTACAGACGCCACACAAACCTATCTGCCATGTGTAGAACCTGGACTTGCAGAATCTGCCTTGCCTACCTTCTCACAACCTACCTACTTTGGGGGCAATGTCATAGGATTGCAGCATCGTTCAGAGATAGGCACTGGTGTCACATGCCATGAGAGCACTGGAGGCCTGGGGACAGCTGAGTTCGAGCTGAGTTCTCACAATAGCACTAATACCCAACATCCATGCATCTTACAGGTGGCAAGGTGGGACAGCCAGGCTACACCATCCTCCAGATGGACTGTGTGCCACTGATCACACTTTAGGCCCAGCAGTTCTGATCATAGCCCTTTAAGCCCAGCAGTTCAATGAGTTTTCAGTCCACCTGACTATCTACTTGTCTAGTCCATTCTTAAGCAGTTTGTAATTGAGCATTTGAGCGGAGACAGCACTGACAGTCTTGGTAAAGTCAAGATGAATCACATTCGCGGCTCTCCCTTCATCCACTATGCTAGTCATCTCATTGTAGAAGGCTGGTCAAGGAAACTATTTCCAGGATTTACTCCATCATGTACACCGGGACTGATGCGAGGCTGACCAGTTTGTAGTTCCGTTTATCTTGCTTCTTGAAGACAGGACAGACATTTGCTTCCTTCCAGTCCTCAGGAACCTCCCCAGTCACCACAACCTTTCAAAGACAATCAAGAGTGGCCTTACAATGACACCAGCCAGTTCCTTCAGCACTCATAGGTGCACCCTGTCAGAGCCCTTGGACTTGTGTCTGCCCAGTCTGTTTGAATATTCCCTAAACTTCTCCTTCTCCACGGAGGGTAAGTCTCCTTGCGCCAGACTTCCCCTCTGGTCTCAAGGCCCTGGGATTCCTGAAAGGCAGTCTTACCAGTAAAGACTGAGGAAATGAAGGCATTGAGCACTTCAGCCTTTTCCACGTCATTTGTCACCAGGTCCCCTGCTCCCATTCAGCACTGAACCACATTTTCCCTAGACTTTCTTCTGCTGCTGTTACACTTGCAGAAACATTTCTTGATGCCCTTCACTTCCCTTGTCAGTTTCATCTCCGTGTAGGTTTTGACTTTGCTAACCCCTGTGTCTGGACCCTTGAATAGTGACTCTTTGCTGAACTTTCCTATTACTCATCTTACTGCTCTGGAACACAGGGGCATTTCAAGCAGTGGAGCACATCTGGCTTACTTCAAATATTTCACTCTAAATTTATGCTGATCCTGAAGGTTTGATAGCACTCTTTACCTGCACAGGGTTACTTTTAACTTAATAGAAGGTTTCTAGCTTCATTTTATCCATTGTATCAGCCTCTCTTTGCAGCGAGGAGCTATAAAGCATGTCAGAATATATTTCAAATTTGAAACTGGGTTGGGATTTTTTTTCAGTTTTTCAGGGACTTTACTGCCATCAATAAATCCATTTACCAGCTAATACCTTCATAGTATTATTATACACATTTTGCACATGAATGCCCCGAGACCTAGTGTAATATTGCTACTTCACCGAGGAGACACAAACAATCACATTTCATCTGATAGTTCACTGAAATGATGCAGACTAATAATGGATGAAGTAAACTAAAACCACATGAGATGGCTCACCAAATCATGAGGAAATTTGGAGTTCAAATCTAAATATGGATTCAAATTCTATAGTTCAATTGCGTTATTCAGTTATATTGCATGATATTTTTAACTAAGCAAGACAAGATCTAGTAAAGCCTTATTCCAAATCAGTGCATTTACAATTTCCAGTAATTAGTTGGTTTGTTTAAAGCAACTTCTGACAGGCTAGTAAATCCAGTATGTAAATAACGGATATAGGAGACAGCTGTGCTAAATTGTGTGATATACA